TTCACAAATGTATCATAATTTCACAAATATTTGTCCGTTATTTAAAAGATTGAACACTTAAATTCAAATGTAATGCTATGGAAAAATATATAAAATGATTCTTATAAACTTTTTTTTACATCAAATAATAATAATAATTATTATTGTCATTTAGGGCGATTGTGGCTCAATAGATGGCAGTTCACCTTGTAATCAGAAGGTTGCCGGTTCGGACACTCTCGGTCGTTGTGTCCTTGGGCAAGACACTTCACCTACCACCTACTGGTGATGGCCAGAGGGGAATTATAAAGTGGAATTATAAAGTGGAATTGTAAAGCGCTTTGAAGGTCTCATGAAGCGCTATATGAATGCAATCCATTATTATTTAAACCAACTGTTAACTGTATATTTAAGTATTATTATTCATATTGCCGCATTCATTGACCTTTTTTATAGGTAATTTCATTGTTTAATCACATTAAAATGTTCCTAATTTAATGTTTAAAAGGACTTGAAAAAGGCAAAATCCCATTTAGATTTAGGGCAACAAACTGTATTGTCATTACTGAAAATAACCGTATTTTCATGAGAAAGTTATTTTCTGTTATTTTCTGTTATTATTTTTGCCCCCAGCTGCCGGAATATTACTGTTTTTTTTTTTAGTATTTATTTTTTACGGTGTACACTGACTACTGATTATTCTTCACTTGAATCATGTTTAATATGAGCATCCACCAGTTTAATAAATGACAGAAAATAAGGAAAAGTGTAATTGGTTCCCATTAAGAAACAACACTCTAAGCTAATATGTAAAATGTGCATGATACTACAAATACACTAGATGTATGTGTATGGATGGATCTGACAGTATGTGGGTGGGTTTCCTGTAGATTACTGGAGTGAAAGTGAACATGAGGATGACGCTGCCTCCAGCCCCAAACAGGACAGTCCCCCACCTCCATATGACACCTACCCACGGCCTCCATCAGTGAGTCACTCACACACACACACACACACACTGTAAACTGTATTGCATCTCTCACAAAGTAGATATTGTACTCGGAGGCAAAATTGAGGCCTTGTGCTTCCTAGTCCACTGTAAGAGTTGGAATTATTCCCAATAAAGCAGTAAGTACAGATAGTGCTGAGGCTATATTAAACATGTTGCTATATTTGAAGCTGAAATGGGTTGCTGTACATCATGCATCTCTGTCCTGGGGTATGTTTTTTTAATCATAGGGTAAAAGAAAGGAAACACCAACAGCACCTTGTCCATGTAATTGAAGTTACAAAACACAGGCTGCTAAGTTTTAAGATAATAATAGAGTCACTCAAACACCCCTCTGCTTTGTCTTCTTGTCTCTCACCTACCATATCACACACTTACTCAATCAGGCAGGCATGCTGATGAAATCCTTTCTTTGAAGTGTGTCATTATGGTTGAATGAGACAAGGCGATCATTTGACGTCTGCCACATTGTCTCCCTTCCTTTTTCTCTATCAGATGAGCGCCTACTTGGAAGGAGGTCGGACCACTCGGCTGTCTTCCACAGAGACGTCTCGCTCTCGCTCATCCCAAGAGGACTTCCTTTGTGGCGAGCCCCCTGCTGCAGCTGCAGAGCCGCAGTACCACCCTGGTCCTCTTGGGGGAGGCACCACACACAGTGGCAGAAAAGCAGGGGGCAGCAACAGCAGCGACGTACAGTACAGATGTGATCCTGTAGAGGTGTGTGACGATGTTTAATATTACCTGAGATTAATGGTCTCATTTCGACAGTTCGGAAATTGTTCTTTCGACTTGGGAGCATGAATGTGCTTTTTAGTCTGAATTTACACTCACCAGCCACTTTACTACATTCATCTATTCAACTGCTATTTAACGCTGATGCATAGTTAGCTAATCACATGGCATTAACTCAGTTAGTTTAAGCATGCAGACATGGGAAAGAAGGCCTTCTGAAGTTTAAAAAGAGCATCAGAAATGGTAAGAAGTGACTTTGAATGTGGGATAGTTATTGACAGACTGGTCTCAATATTTCCAAAAGTACTGATCCACTGAGATTTTTCCACACAACCATTACATAGTTCTGCTGCGACATTCTGATGTTAAAAGAACAAGTAAAGCGTGGATCCACCCAGCTTTGCATGTATATCAATGGTTCAGCCTACTGATGGTGGTATACTATTACTAACTATAGTGTGGGACTCTTGATTTTAATTACCGTATAAATTATTTCAAATAGATTTTGTTCCAGAGTTCAGACTCTAGAAGATGATGAATATAGTGCAACAGATGACTGTTTCCTAATTATAATATTATGTTTAGAGAAATACATGTTACCAACAATAAACTACAATTTGTAATATAGGAGCTGTCTTCATATGGGACCACATGCTTTGATTGCATCTGGTAAGTCTACTGAATAATTTGTTTATCTGTTGTTTTCTGTAGTACCGCTCCAGTCCTGCTGGGGGCAGTAGTGAGACAGGGTCCCCGGGCCGCTCTTCATCGTCGCAGAGGCGCTCTTGGCAGGACCTGATTGAGACGCCATTGACCGAGGCTGGACTGCACTACCTTCAAACTGGACCACTTGGTAGTGCCCAAATTCCAATTCAGTTGCTTGAATTCTTACACATCAGTGTTAGTGACTTCTGTTTAAGCTGTGATTATGTTCTACAGAAAGACAGAAAACCCAATGTGTTTCTGCACACCAACATGTTCAGCTAATATAGACCACAGAAAGTATAAAAATGACAACATGATAGTTTCCCAGAATTTCCCCCCATAGTGGTTTGTTGCAATATAGGTGAAAAACCATATTCTTTCCAAGATGGCAAAAAAAAATCTAAAAAAAAATGGATTAGTGTCATTTAATTATAAAGTGTAAAGTTTGTTTTTCATTAGTTATTCAATCGAAATCAAATTGTCTCATATTTAGCTAGCTCGCTTGATAACAACCAGTTCTTTATTGTTCTTATTTAGTATACAGTAAACATCTATGGCAGTCTAGCTCTTTCAAGAGGGGAATGTCTGAGGTACATGTAGGTTAAATGGTGTGACTGTGTTTCGGCCAAAAGAAAGTACAGCTTCAACTTTTATGTCTCCACCCTCTGTTTTCTGTCATGCAAACTCTTATTCCATGCATTGACATTATAAAACATAGACGTAGCATTTGCTTGGAAAAATTAAACCAGCGTGAAAGTGCCTTAAGCCTGCATTTTATCTCAAGGCCAAAAGATGGCGATAGTTGTGGATAGAGTCAATGAGCAATCAATTTCACAGTAAGGCACGCCCCTTCCTATCACATTTGTTTTAAAAACAAGATGACAGCAGTGGAAATGCTCATCTTGAGGCTTCAAAACAAGCCTGTAGAAACCAGTGTCTTATATAGAAATATAGACTTATTATATATACTTATATATACTGTATATTATACCTTTGTACTTTTACCCCATCAAATTTAACAAAATGGTTGCTTCACTAAAAGTAACAGAACTGCAAAAAAAGTGTTGTTGTTTTTTTTATTTGTGATATCTTAGATTGTTATTTTATTAATACCAAGAACAAGAAAGCTTCTCCAGAAAGTGTGCCATTAAAATTTTGAAAGGTCCACACACACAGAGCAGAATTTCTACTGTTTTGACAGGAACTACTCTCTGCTCAAGAAAGCGCCCCCATGGAAACTGTCTGCTATCATCTGTGATCATCAGCTTCAGCCCCCCCTCATTAAAATCAACTTTGACCCCTGCCTGGAATGATATTTGTCAAATATTTTGTGCAGCTGCTGATGCAGCTTGAAGCTTGTGTGTTTTATATATGATCTTGTGTTTAATAGTAATGTATGTGTTAAGCGTTCTTTCTGATGCTCCAATGTGGACAGTGGCTTTAAAGCTGGAATAGCAATGTGTCTCTGATTCAGTCAGAACATATTTAAAATAAATGTTACTGTATTGAACAGAGTGTTCTTTTAAAGAAATGAGTCATGTTGCATTCATGACTCAAATAACAGCAAATCAATTTTCTTTTCTTTTCGTTGCAGAGGACGCCGTCTTTGCTGAGCCAGGTGGTGGCTCAATGATGGCCGGAGCCGTTTACACTCTTCCTGCTCCGAGGAATGTCCCGTTGCCCATGGCAATGCAGAGGCTGATTCCTATGGCAACCCAGGGAGGGAAACCCCGCAGCTTCACACTGCCACGAGACAGCAACCTCCACACGCTCCTCGCACCGCCTGCAAAAGAAGAACAGCAAACACACAACGGTGAGTTCATGCTGGATCAGGCTTTTGGTGTGAAATGCTTACAAGGGCACAGAGAGCTTAAAGCTAATCCGGAAGCATTATTTTTATTCACTATGTTTTAACACCAAATCAACACTACAGTAAAGACAAAAGCACCATTCATTATACAGTACACAGAGATTTTAGGCAATAAAAATAAAGCGAAAATACTTTAAATCAGACTATGAACCAGCCACAACATCTGAACATTGATGCAATTTAACAGTTAAAACTAGCTACCAAACAAGCAGTGTTGCATTAGAAAAAAATACATTCAAATAACAGAGAAACATATGAAATGTTATATAGGGAAGAATAATGAGCTCTCCTAAAGGAATGCACAAATGATTTAAACCAGCCGTTCCCAAGCTACATGGTCCTCTTTAAGGGCCATTAGTGAGGTTGCTGCTTTGTTTGAAAGCAAGCAAAAAGCCTCACAATTCAAACTCTCTGAAAACCTCTTTTAACAACAGAATTTCATTATGTTGCTATGAGACTGCAAGCAGCCACGTCTGTGGATGAAAACTAAAGCCAATGCAAAATTTCCCACTGCAGAACTGCAGTTCCTCTCTTGACCACTTGAGGCTGGCCCAAAGCTGTGTTTTAACCTTTTAGAGCCATTTAATTGAATTAAATGCCAAAAATGATATGGCCTGCTGCGAGGTACAGTTCATTCTAAGTGAAATTCTAGTATTTTATCAGTCTGTTGCTAAGCACCAATTATCGGTTTCTAAGCACCAGTATCCGTGTCTATGCTTTGGACCTGTGTGGATTTTGGATGCAGATTGCTATACATGCTCACTACCCTGAGCTTATAACTTAGGACTTTCAAATTCAGTAACTTGTGGGAGCAAAAACACCAAGATTGAGGTTTTTTGTAGTCCAAAACCAATGGGTGATGCCACGATGACTATGTCTAGCTTTTTTATACAGTCTGGTTTTCATGACATTTGTTGAATTGCTATGTGCTGCACGCTATTTTCACTGCCAGAGCCTAATGAGGGAAAATACTTCCAAGTACTTAATATTGCTCCGTAATAACGGGGGCTCGGGTGTTTCATACAATGACAGCTAATTCTGAGCTAGTTATAGCCATTGACACAACGAGCTGGAATGATCAAATCTGGAAAAAAATAATTGCATGTTCGACCTTCTCGATTTCACTGAAGGACAAAATATTTTATGTTGGGGATTAATTCAGTAGAATAAGCTGGTGCTGCTCTCAGTTATGCATTTTTTGGGTAACAGCAGAGCGCAAAAATGTGTCTCGCTGTGAATGACAGCCACTAGAGACTGAGGGGGAGGGGGAAAAAGGAAATTTCTTTTTAAGGTGAAGATGTCAGCACATGTGCCACATATAAAAACTGCTCTCAGGCACAGACATATCCATTTAAATCGTCATCAGCTTGAAGCTGAGCACACTGCAGTCATACATTGATCTAATGAGGCTAATGACACCACGGTGCTCCTGTTGCCAAGGTGAGGCAAGCAGCATTTGAAAAGAAAGGACTGCAAGAGTAAATAAGACTGATTTATGTAATAGCATGATATATGTTGCATTTGTTAGGGAATGGATTGAACAATCAATTATAATGTGAGCAAGGAAATAAAACTGCCAAAGTGATGAGGGCGTCCCTGAGGCTGACAGGATTTTCTCCTCGTTAATAATCCTGCTGTGACTAATACAAATCATTACAAAATGTCGTAGATGTGTCGAGGTGTGCTGCTGTCCTCCAGTGGTTGATCTGAGATATAACTTAAGGCGCTCCCCGGCCTTTTAGCTTCTAATCCTGTAACAGATGTGAAGCAAAGAGTTAAACTCAACATTAAATGTGCGGGTCTCTGTTTCCCCTCTGACTGCTCTGAAGGTGGCAGTGAAGGTGCCTCGCTGGGCGACCTGTTTCGTGCGTGCGAGCAGGGTGGGGTCTGTCCTCTGGGTCGGGGGTCGGAGTCCAAAGGTCAGTCAGAGTTCAGGCAGTCATTTCTCCGAAGGGCCGCTGACCCTCATCTCAACGAGCGCCTGCACCGCCTCCGCATACTGACCTCCACGTTGAAGGTTGGTCCTCACTCTCATTCATATAGACACATGCGCAAGACGAGCACGGGGGCACGCCAAACACATGCACACTTACAGAGGCACAGGAGGATTTTAATTTCTGACGAGACGACTGACCTTTCCCTAACCTCTCACCCAAACTCTTGTCGATGTTTGTACAGATGTAGACACCGGGTTTGTGTGATGCATTTCTGGCCATTTGAAATACTATAAAAAACAAACCAACGTACAAACATTTTATAAGCAAGACGTTTACTACATTTGAAGAAATAAAAAAAAAACTAACATTTCACTGAAAGTTGTTTTGGATGTTTGTGGTGCATTTATTTTCACTTATACAAAATGAATTGCTACTGCAGTGTCCTGCTGATACTCTAGATCAGTGGTCTCGAACTCCAGTCCTCGAGGGCCGGTGTCTTTTCCATGTGTCCCTGTTGCAACACACCTGAACACAATTAGGTCATTAGCAAGACTATATCCGGTCGTTAAGTCTGACGTCACTAGCCGTGTCTGG